ACGTGTAATAGGATTTGTTTAGCATTAGACCTAAATCCTCAACATCAGAATGCTTCTGTTTCTTTTAGTGGTAAGAAAAGCTTAAAGTAAAATCCAAACAAAATTACCACAATGCTGAAAACCCAATTTATCTTCAAGTATCGTACTGTGTAACAGTCTTCCCACAGGAGTGGATTTAGCTGTATAGAAAGCTCCCACCTTGAGGCTGGAATGACTTACGGCTTGTTTTACTCCCTTTCCTTTAAGCTTTTCTGGAGCCCCTGACGGGGGGCCTTTCCCATGGACACTTCAGTGGAACATTTTGGATGCTTTCAAAGGAAATGGGCCTAGAGACAGATAAAAAGCACACGGGGGAGAATTTTCTCCTGGACCAAGAGCTCTGGGAGAATTATTCCACCCCATTTCAGAAAAGCAATTGCAGTATGGGGTGATATAGCACTGCCATCAGAAAACGTGACCGCAGAGGGAGTCATTAAAGGGCCTGAAGGGACTTCTGTYCTCAGCACTAAACTACCGTTAACTAAAGAAGCTCTCGCCTCACGAACGAGAATCTGCCAGACATTAAACATCACAAAGCAGGAAGTTTAAGTATCCCGACAGACAGCAGCRTCTTCACAGGCTTCCTCTCCAGAAGCTCTGTGCACTATTTCCCCTGAAGTGATGGGAAGCAGTGTGGGGTGTTGGAGAGTGGGGAGTACAAGGGGGAAGCAGGGAGAAGGCGGAGGGAATAGGGATAGCAGGGGGTTCTCACGTGTGGCCTAGTGCCTGCACTTGGTGCCGACTCTCCTTGTGAAGCACAGGAGTGTCCCGGTGGGCACTYGTGTCCCGGCGGGCAGCGCTCGAGCCCTCCCGTGCCCTCAGCAGGGCAGGGCAGAGCAGGGCGCTGGGGTCAGCGCTGATCCAAGGGGCGCTCGGCCGGGAGGCAGTGGATGGGAATGCGCGGGGCCGCGGCTCCCAGCGCAGGGATGTGCAGGGGGATGTTCAGCGCCGGCGCCGCACAGGAACAGGAGGCCCCGAGCCTGCTCCCGGGTGCCGCCGAGCGCCTATCCCCCCCATAGGAAACCCTAAAGCGCCCACATACGCACGAGGAAGCACAGCCCCGTTAAGCGTCGAGAACTTGATAATTCGTTAACCTTTCACACTGGCTGAAAAGCCACGAACACAAAATACAAACAGGTGCAAAACACACAACCTGACCGATTTCCAGCTTCAGAGCATGGGATGTGCTCCCTGAAGAGGACGGGGCTACGCGAGGCGGGACACCTGATGCGTGCGGGAGGAAATACTGTAGACAACTTTCCTTCAGGAAAGGGCTCACTAAAAACAAAATTTTGCATGCAAGGGTATGTTTTGATTCATTTTCCATTTATAAAAGCAGAGTTTTAAAATTACCGAAATATTCCATTGAGATATTTTTAAGATGAGTAAGTTCCGGCTTAGGGTTCAAAACTACTTTCTTCTCACAAGAATAATTTATAATACAGATGGGAAGAAAAACACATTGTAAAATAAGAAATAGTTGAAAAAACACGATTTTTTAAGTTGATCTTATCCATCTTCTCTCTGACTTTCATATCATGTCAAACAATCTGGCATTTTATCTTTTTGTTCCAATTTCAGAATTTCTAAAATTACAAAAATTGTCAACACATAAGCTAACCATTTCAGTTCCATCTTCTAGTTTATATATATTTTTTAAAAAATCTTTTCTTTTTTAAAAAAAATATTTTTTCTGTTTTCTTTTTTTAAAAAAAGATGTGACTAAGTGTATCTTTTCTCCTCCCTGTATTTGTTTCACCATTGGGGGATTTTTCTATTAACGTGAGAGTCTTAATATGAGAGAGTCTCATTGTTCTGAACATTTCTCTTCCCAAAGCCTTACTCCACTATTTTTCCTTTCAACCCTTTTCTTCTAGCAACTACCTGTCATGTAACAAACAGGCGATTTCAACTTCAGATGAAGATTAAGTTTKTGGAAAACAGAAGAAACGCTGAGATGCTCACGATTTATGAAAAGGCATTAAAGTCAACAACTCAAGGCAGAAGGCAAAAACTGTGCTCTAAGCAGAGATAAAACAACCAACTTTGTTTAGGTGACATGAGGGTGCGTTACCTATCTGGAGTTCTAACAGGATTATTACAAACCAAAAGGATTCTGGTGTTCAGAGCAGGCTGTCCTTGCAAGACCAGCACCAAACATACAGTGGCAGTGTCCTCTACAGGTGACAGTTCACAGCACGTCGCCCCTCACTCACTCACTCACTCCAGCTTCACTGCAGCCCTGATCATCAGCTAGGTGCTCCTTACAAAATCCTGACCACTATCTGGCAAAAGAGGCACCACAAAGGCAATGGGGGCTGTTTAGAGTGCCCTGGGGAGGCCTGTTGCGCCTCAGGGAAGGTTTGAGGGTCGTCTTCCCCACCTGTGGAGGAAGGCAGCATTCTGCCCCACAGATATGCTGCCTTCTTCATACCCACCCCACAGAGAATGACACTTGACAACCTGCCCAATGAAGTCAGCATTACATTTTTTAGTTATTAAGAATGTTATTTATCAAAAACTACCCCAAATTCCTCAGTAGCCAATGATGTAACMCCCGTGATGTTTAAGAAGCCTACTTCTTTAGAAAGCTCTTCATTTCGTCTCACCCACCTGAGCTCCAGCTCCTAATTCAGCTCCTCATCTGGCAGTGCCATTAAGATAACTTCTAATTTTTTTCTTACAGAAAAAAAAATCAATATAAAAATGCAATGATGTTTCACACTGGAAAAAAAGATGTGATGCAGTCTGCAAAAGGAGGTTAATGTGCAAAGGTGCCAGCTAGGCCGCGGGTGTTGCGGGTCCCGCGCTCCGACGTGAATAGCCGATTCAGGGGAGCGAACACTAGCTAGGCAGTGATCCTTCCTTTGACACATTTTCCCCTCTGAACGTCTGGTTCTTTGCAGACATTTCTAAGTTTGATGTTGCACGGCATCTTGCCAGAATAAATAGATAGATAGATAGATAGATAGATAGATAGATAGATAGATAGATAGATAGATAGATAGATAGATAGAAAGATAGAATGAAAGGCAGGTGAAGGGGGCGTTTGTAGCAGTTGTGTGCTAAAAAATCCACTTTCTGGGCAAACAGTGATTTAAATATTACAAAATATGAAATGTAGAAGCATGTGTTAGTAAACACATGCATGTCTAAAACAGACCCTGAGCATAGGCAGGCACGATACCGTAAGACACGAGATCAGCTGTGCTTGCGAGCGCTGCTGCCGAGAGCCCCGTTTGCACCTTATATCCCTCACGGAATCGGGCAAGGTCGCTAACACAACTCCTCGTTTTTTTCTGACAGAAAAAAAAATCAGTATAGAAATGCAAATACTTGGCTAGATGTTGTTTCATATTAAAGAAAGAGGTTTCAGCTGAGCAGCTTTTTCCAACTAGCTCAACCTCTGCTGAAGTACTCAAACAGCCAGGCACTTCAAAAGAGGGCTGAGGTTCTGCTGAGTCAAGAAAAAGAAATTTAAATGGAAAAGCAACTTGGATTTGGAAAGGTTGAGCTATGAGGAACCATCTAGAAAACACTGAATTTATCCACTGTTACAATTTCCCAAAAATCAAGTGCTAAGGGATTAGATTCTCCCTTGACAAGAAATGCTACATGAGTCATATCTGAAGAAATAAGAAAATTCATCCAGAGGTCAGGGAATACTACACATCATATTTAAAAAATCTTCTCTTGTTATTTAGCAGCCTGGTGAAGAGTCCAAGGTCCTCGGGCCAGTATGCGCCAGCCTGCACTTTCCGTCGCTCACGCGGGGGCATCGGGCTGAAGTCGGGTCTGGGTTCGAAGGGAAGCGCCGCGAGGGCAGCGGAGCCGCAGCCTGYGCCTGACGGTGGCTAAAACTTCCAGCGCCGCAAAAACGCCCTTTTGTAACAGCCAATTTATTTTTGCAACATGCTTTCCCAGGAGAACACTGAATTTATAGAATCAAATGTATATAACGACCGAGATTTTGTCCTGAAGACATATATCTCGCTAAATCAAAAGAGCTACAATCGCCTCTCACCTGTATTTAAAGCCTACTACTTTCCTGTATTTCGTTCTAATTTATTCCAAATAGTTCAGCCAGGAATTATATATGCCTACAGGTATAGAGATTCTGCTGTTTTGTGTTTTCAGACAAAGGTCATTTTAAAGCTTCTTTTTTTTTTTTTTTTTTTAGTGTTTTCCAATTACTTATATATGGAGGGACATGTAGTAGCCAAAATTAGAAAGAGAACATGGATCTTATGTATCTGGACTTTATAACGACAATAAAAGAAATTAAAACTTCAGGGTGGCATTTATTTGAATGCATCGTGAAAAAAAAAAGAAAAAAGAAATACTGTACCTAGCTGTAGCTAAAAAAATAAAAAAATAAAAAAATAAAAAAATAAAAAAATGCAGGCAAGGAATCATCTCTCATTTTTCATGAAATGAATGTTAATTTCTGTGCAAATAGATTATGCATATTTGCTGTGGTTCCAATATGGACCCACTCGCAGAAAATCCTAAGAACAGAGTGCAAACATAAATATTACTCTTTGTTGTCTAAACATACCTCAGTTTTACAGTCGGGGTGTTGCTGCTTCCACCTTTTTTTTTTTTTGTTATCTGTAAACCCATCAGCAATTCATAATGATGAACGCAACACAGTTCAGTTTGTATTGGCAAAATTCACTTTTGAAAGCCAGCACATCTGGAAACCACTTTTAATTATACTTGCCTCAAGTGGGAAAGCAGTAGCTCGTACCCATAGCGAAGCTTTTATATCTGACCACACAAATACTAGCAACCACCTGTGCTTTATACTGACTTTCATTATGGAGTAGATCACATTACTAGCCTATTATTCCAGAACGACATTTGAAGCTGTTGTGTGACTAAGCTGCTGCAAGTGTGGTCTCGAAAAGGTCTCTACTCCACAGAAACATAATAAACTTGATTGCAGTTCGGGTACTTACCACTGAGGATATCACAATAAGCATGCTCCTAAAGTTGGCTTCTCTTGCTCTGAAAGTCATAAAAGATATACATTAACAATCGGGATTACTGCTCGGGGAATTGGAATTGAGTGAACTAATGTGTACCCTCAAATGAGATACCTCGTAAGTGCTTGGAGTTCACTTTCATTTATTTATTTTTTTTTCCCTACTGTTAATAAACGAGTACTGTAGTCAAATGCTTTACTTCCTCAGCCATACTCTGAGATTGCAGAAAGCAATTACAACTGTGATCTGTCAGCATAACGGTATTTCATTTCTGTCATAAATATTTTCAGAAGTTGCAAACATTGTGAGTTATATGATGAAGTTGCATTTTCCAGTCATAACCTCCTCCTCGCTCCTCCCAAAACTCTCAGGTTTACATTTATTCTTACATCACTGCTGCTCATTTCTGACAAAAAAAAAAAAAAAAAAAAWATTCAGTCTTTCTCGTATTTAGAGCACACTTTCGGTATTTTGGAAGTGGATAATAAAACAAGCAGAATTTTGTACACGCCAGGGGAAGGGAGAAGCTTCGTATTTTCCTAAGGCTCCCCGCTTGGGAGACGTGGTATCCCCAAGGGCAGAGTTGCCAGCGATGGGCACCAGCGCGTGCAGCTCTGTCAGGGGCAGGTACCTGGTTCTACAGACCAGGTTTCGCCTGGTTCGACGCGCCGACCTGCACTCGGTGCAGGCAGCAAGAAATCCAAGCATCCAACCAGCCCAACTGCCCTGGCTTATCAGTTACCGTGCCCGAACGAAGAGCTTGGCAGGACGCTGCGTGTCTCAGCAGCCACGTTCACCTGCCCCGCGCTTCCCRTCTCCAGGTCGGGGCTGGAATTCCRCGGCAGCGCCGGAGGCCGCTGGAGCCCCGCGGCCTCCCCCGCACGCTGCTCACGCCGCCGGCGCCGCCGCAAGGAGCCCGTCCCGCCGGCAGGAACACTCCCCGCATCCCGAGGGGCCTCCCGGCCGCGCGGCTCCGGGCCCAGGCGCTGCAGCCCCGTCTCCCTCCCCGCACCGGGGCCGCGGGGCTGCAAGGGGGCACGTTGGGCGGCGGCAGGAAGCAAGGCTTGTTTCATYGGGGTTCAACGCAGCCTCTCCTGCTATTTCTGAGCCTGCCCTGCACCCTGAAGGSATCTGGGGTTCACCCGACGGTGTTTCAGAAATAACGTACGGGGTGCTCACTGCGCCATAGACGTGACCTTTCGCGCAAGCATTCGTAATGTTTTAAGAGATGGAATATGTTCACAGGCCACAAACCCACACTGCTATAAACGTAAAATCTGATTTCACATCATGAATATATGTATTATCTGTGCAAAGAAACGCAATATTCCTCCTCCTATTCTGCGATCTGTAGTAACAATTTTTAGATTGCTTAAGAAAAAAAAAAAAATCGTTTCTGTGAACTGCTTAAACTTAAAAGAGAAAGGATCACAGTCTACTTGGAAATACAGGCACACTCTAAATATAACTTGTTAAAGGTTTTCCAACTAAACACAGGGCAAACAAAGCCTGAAACACTGCTCTCTCCAAAACATAAAAATAAGCACTTTTTAAAAATCTGGATATGCAAGTCTCCTGAAATCAAGCTCCCTGAAGGAAAACCAAGTGTAATTAYGAGGTTAATAGAGGGAGAACATAAATTCATTTGCATTTGGGGCATATACTGTTGCATGCAGCGCTGCCGTGCACCAGCAGCAGCCGGGCGGCTGCCCKTGCTGCACTCCGAGGCGCTGGTGCAGACACCCGGGGCTGGCCAGCACGGGGGACGGCGGCGGAAGCGGAGCGCGAAGGCCGCCCATGGGCACAGTGAGCGCCTGGACACTGGCTGCACACGGCGCGGGGACGCCCGTCCATGCTTTTCCCTCAGCACTCCTGCCTCTTGGGAAGCCCTGGCGAGGGCACGGACGAAGATGGCAATGCCAGTAAGGCCAGCGCCGTGCGGGAGGACGGGAGATGGCAAGGCCTGCGGCTCGCGGGCGGCATCGGGGACGCCAGGCACCGCGACGCCGACTGCAGCCGGCCCGGGCCCCCGGCCCGGCACAGTGGTAACCAGCCCGCTCGTGACGCTGCCATCGTGGGCTGCAGGATGTGGCTGGCAAGGAGGGCAGATATGAAGCCACGGAGCCCACCTGAGGCGCTGGAGAGCTGCCACGTTACGGCGCTGCGCTGAGCGCGCCCCACTGCAGCAGCAGGTTCCCCACCGCGAGCGCAAGCACGGGGAAATAAAGCGGGGCGGCTGCATCCTCCCTGCCCTATTCCCACTGCATCCAGGTGTTCCAGGCTGCATCCTCCCCGCC